AAATTTATAATAGGTTTGACTTCCTTACGACAACTTTGACCGATATATTTAATTCAAAATTTGCAGTGTTTGATGTCATTTTTAAGTTGCCTGGAGGAGTCGATTATTTAAGTTAGAATAATTCCAGGAAATAAGTTTAAATGAAGTGCAACAAAAAATGTGTATCATTTAATAGGCCGTATATGGAATTCATGTGATTTCTACTCTAAATTTCAAAACCATATAATCGTATATATATATATATATGATAGATTAAAAAAAAAAACTGAAAGGCCTTTAGATTTAAATTAAAAGGAAACTTTTAATTTAAAATTTTTTTTAAATTTAAAATTTAAAAATTTTTTTTTTAACATTTTGTGTGTTACCTTCATTTATTAAATATCATGTGCTTCTCACTTCAACCATAAAATTCAGTTCAAGAGCAATGTCACAAAATAATATTAAAATGATTAATGATTAATTTTAAAATGATCTTTAAAATTTCCGATACACAGTTTCGGGCGCTGGAGATACAAATGTTTTCCTTGTACAAGGTTGCCATTGCTCGCTTTGAAATCCTTGAGTTTGTGATAATTTATTGAAAGTTTTTTTATGGATGTAATATTTGTTAACCAAGGCTGAGGAACATAAAATTATGTTACTCTTATTTAAATCATTTTTCTCTTTTATAATTTCTGTCAAAAGGAATATTTTCGCTGTTATTTAATATATTCTATGGTCTCTTGTAAATTTCACAAAGTGTTATTTAAACGAAGAAAAGTAAATAATGCATAAGTACCTACCGCATTAAATGCACTTTATTGTAAGAAACAAAGCTTTAAAAAAAAAAAAAAAAAAAAAAAAAAAAAAAAAAAAACGCAATATTTATGGCAACCCTGAAATATGCTTATTGCTGTTATTGAACACATAACACGCACTTTTGTTTTTTAGAATTCCTTATTATTGTTTTATCACTCTAGTCTTATCACGTGAACAGTGATGTGCAAAAACATACCTTTTCCTCGTTTCTAAACCATCTGCTCCAAACATCAAATAAATAAAAGTGAAAAGAAATTAAAATTATGGTTTTACTAGGCTGCATTTCTGATTGATAGCTTTGAATCAGGAATTTGTAATATTATTTTTATGGAAATCACGTTTGTTTCTGTGGTTACCGTCTACGATTTATTGAAATTTTATACGAATGTGATAAGCGTTTTCTGTTTTTTTTTTTTTTTCCCTTTGAATGCTTTGTAGTTTAACAAAATACAGGCGTCTGTACACAGTTCTGCTTTTCCCATGCAAAATGGTGTTTTCATGCAGTGTGAAGATATTATTTACAGCTTCTCGCCAGCGTGTTCTTCTAGAATGAATTTTGTTTTGCCTTTCAAGGGCAGTATTATCTTTTTTATGGTGGCAATAGGAGGCAAGTGATAAAGTAAATGATAAGCCAGCTACATGTTTCGGATTCGTAAAAGTGTAAGAGCACAGCTAAATTATCGTAAATTTTACTCAGCTTTTAGTCCGAAGCAGCAATTTGTCCAGAAGGACACTTAATTTCGTTTTAGCATTTTGCGTTGATTCACTACAAGCGTTATTTCCCTTTTCAAATTGTTGCCACCAAATATTATCGCAATGCATTATTTTTAAGAAATTAAACAATGAAGAATCTGCATAAATGTAGGTATGTTTCTCGCATTGTGATAAAACAACGGTACCTAGAGCCATCCAAATTTGAAAAACATAATCTTCCATAGAATATGGACATGTGGAAACCCTTATTTGAATTTGTTTTATTATCGATTTCAGATTTTGATTTAAACTTCAACGAGTTTTTGACGTAACACTTCAACGAATTTTTGATTAACAAACTTAACGATTTCAAAACGAGCAATGGCAACACTATATGGGAAAAAAAAAAAAAAAAAAAAAAAAAAAAAAACAATTTTTATCTCCAGACTCTGTATCGGAAATTCTAAAGAAATGCTCATTTTATAATTATTTTGCGATATTGCTGTTGAACTGAAATTTATAGTTTAAGTGCGAAGAACATGATATTTAATAAATAAATCGGAAAAAAGAAAGAAAATCTGAAATCTTTCAGATTTTCTTTTTTTTTTTAGTTTTATTTCAATTTTAAGGAAATATTGTAGCTTATTTCAGTAGGCAGGTAGTTTGTTTTTAAGGTATGGTACGATGGTTTATTCTTGGTAGTTTAATTAGTAGGTAGGTAGTTTACTTTTACGGATGGTATGCGGTGGTTGGTATGGTATGATATGCGGTGGTTTATTTTTAGGAGATATGTAGTTTATTTTTAAGGACACGTACGTACCTTGCTTTTAACTGTCGTTATAATCGGTATAGTGGCTAGCGTTCGTTGGGCTAAAGTTTAAATCTCAGAGAGGAGTTGAATCTTTTTATGTGTATAATATCTGTGCTGCATGGAGTCACTCAAAATTCAGACGAGAGTAATATTCTCTCGAGAATTTTAGAGGTAGAAGAAAAGAGATAGGTGAACATTGGATCTGTCCTCGTGGGGTTCTCCATCAACGTTGAAACAGAACTTCCCCGTTCTTGCGGATGTAATTTCGGTCGCCCCCCTGTGGTGCACCTTGGTCAACATTCTAGGCGATGAGATGGCTAAATGACAGACGGGTACCGCACATTCCCCAACCAATTAATGTGAAAGTATGCTGGCATTTGCAATATCAGCATTGCTTTTAAATTCCACGCTAGTTAAGCAATGCGTAATGTTGGTTTTAAATATAAGATCTTATTTCACCTTGAACCAACCATTTTAGCAGTTAATTTTGAGTTAAAGTCACTTTCCTATCCTTCTTAATTTCAGCTTATAATTTCCTGCCAGAACGTGTTTTCAGAATCATGGTTAAATGCAAATGAAGGCTTGATAGCCTTTTAGAATCTTGATAGGTTCGGCTATATCTTTTTGAAGTTTAGATAAGTTTTATTTTTTAGTATTCCTGAGTTTAAGCCTGAGGCTTTGCTGTAAACTCAAAGAAGGAATCAACCGTTAAATTTATTTTGAATAATAAAGGGAAATTAATCCTTCGTATGTTTGTTTACCTTTCTGTCTTTCTGAATTAAGCAATTATTCATTTACCAGTTCTTAAGGTTCCAAACATTAAGCTGTAAATTCTAGGTTGAAACACTATAATATGTTTTTGAAATTAATTTTTTTTTTCCTCCGATGGAGTCAGTTTTTCTTTTATTATTTATCGTCTGTCGCCGACTAGGTCACGTGACTGGCAGCAGAGAAAGAATGTAATAACTACAGGGGTTGGACAAAAAATATGGAAACACCTTTAAAAAAACATGTTTCTTTGCTTAATATGGTGTAGGAAACCCGTTGGCATCCAAAACAGCTTGCAGTCTTCTCGGAATGAATAAATACAGTTCCTGTATGTTTGCCAAGGGAATATTATACCATTCTTCCTGCAAAACGGTGGCAAGTTCAGATAACGATGTTGGCGGTGGATAACGAGAACGCACTTTCCGTTCCAATGTAGACCAAGGTTCGATAATATTCAGGTCTGGTGACTGTGGTGGCCAGGGGAGATGGGACAACTCATCCTCGTGCTCAGAAAACCAGTCCTGGACAATGTGAGCTGTGTGAACAGGGGCTTTGTCGTCTTGGAAGACACCATCACCATCGGGGAACAAAGTTTGTACCATGGGATGAACTTGATCGGCCAAAATGTTCACATAAGTCTTGGCAGTCATGTGCCCTGACACAGTTATCATGGGGCTAGCAGAGAACCACGATATGGCTGCCCAAACCATAACAGAACCCCCGCCCATGTTTCACGCTTGGCAACAAGCGGTCTGTATTATAGGCTTGAGATGGCGTTCTCCAGACGTAAACTCGGCCAGAAGTGGGAAACAATGTGAAAGAAGACTCGTCAGACCATATTACTCGCTTCCACTGCTCTATAGTCCAGGCTTTATGACTTAAACACCACCTTTTCCTGTTACGGGCATTAGCATCACTGATGAGTGGCTTCTCAATTGCAGCACGGCCAGCAATTCCCTGTTTATGAAGCTCCCTTCTAATTGTTTTGGTACTCACAGGGTTTGCAGCTGTGGTCTTCTTATTTTTCGTCACAATTAGCCTTAATGATCGTCTGTCACGATCACTCAGGACACACTTTCGTCCGCGCTGTGATTTAGCAAATGATGTTTTTCCGCTTTTCAAATATGCGGAATAAATCTTCGATACAGTACCTCTTGAAACACTAAACACCTCGGCTACCTTGTTTACGGAAGCACCTACCATACGTGCTCCAACAATTTGCCTACGTTCGAAGTCTGTTAACTCTGACATAATGCAATGACAACCTCACATAACAGTACTCCGACAACAACTGAACTGTTTAGCACATTTACGAAGTTGTATAGGTGGCGTCAGTAGTCAAAAACGCCAGCGCCACCTACATATTTCATTAAAATCAATCTTTCTTTTCAAACATGCATTTCACAAGGTTTTTCCATATTTTTGTCCATCCACTGTATTTTAGTTTGGTTTGAGTGTGACGCTTGTTCTTGGCCACATAGCGGTAATCAACAATTATAATAACTGTACTTGATAAAACTAATCTTGGCCCTATGATGGGGAAATTTATGATATATGTAAATTTCGTCTTTTGTGTAATGCAAATAATGTACATAGGCTCTTCATTAAATATTTCTGTGTTTCAACTGGAAGTTTTTATTTCCGAGTTGAGTCTTTACGTGAAAATCCGTATGTTGACTCTTGATGTACTCGTATATTCTTGATTAAATTGATGCTCTTCCAACTCTGTGAATAAAAGGTAATCGTGAATCGTGATCATAACGTTCAAGTTTATACATATGTCTTTTGCTTGTTGGTATCTATAGATGGTATGTTACTCAAACGAAAACCATCATGTGAAGACATTGTGCTAAAACTGTGCACTGTCTGTTTACGCTTACATGTGTATCTACAAAAATGCTACCAAAGAAAACAAAATATTGTTACGCACCTCATGGGTTTGAAGAGTGCCTTTCCTCCATTTTCGAATGTTATCACAAGCTTTATTTGAGTACCTCCTGGCATTTGTTCTGAAAAATAAACAATCATATAATTATAAGGTAAAAAGTATTTCAAATTAAGGCAAAATTATGAGCTCCTTAAAAATAAAATTTTTTCATTCGATTCGAAACAGCCATTGATACTTCTAACGCTTTCTCTTAAACAGCACAGCTCAAAACAGACATTGTGAAAAGAATTCTTTGAATGAGACAAAACTTGTCATGTAAAAAATACACAGGCTCTTTGCACATTTTTCAGACGACTTTGCTTTGCTATAAAAAATAATCGCCTGCTTCGATTTTTACTTCCTTGTACGAAGTAAAAAGGAAGTATTGTTATCGCGAAAAGCTTCAGGCAGCATATTTCAACGAAAATATCCACTTTGACCGCTTTCGAATGCAATTTAACGCTGTTTTTGCGTGATATCTGTACGTAAGGACAGAATAAAAGACTCTTTTCCTCCAAAAAAACTAAAAAACTGCTTTAAAATGAATTCTGAAGGGAATTTTTCGTGGCGTCTGTACGAACGTATGTACGTACGTGCGTACGAACGTATCTCGCATAACTCAAAAACGAGTAGCCTCAGAACGTTGAAATTTTGTATATAAGACTACTATAACATGTAGATGTGCACCTCGTATTTTGGTTTCAATCGGCCGCACCAAACGTATATAAATATATTGATAATATATATCCACTCTGTTACCCGGCTCAGTGATCTCAGTTTCTTTACTCTTATATGTTTGTAAATTGTACATTTTTTGCTTTAAAAATGATTGAATTATGTTATTTTTATTCCGGTTAAGGGTTTTATGCCTTTAGTAAATCTGTATGCAATATTTTTGAATTATCAACAATTTTAAAATTGTTTAAGTGCCGCTAAGCCTAATAATGTTTTTGATGGCGGCCATTGCTCTTGTTTACATTTGAAACAGCAGAGAGTAGCGGATTTTTGCCAATCTAGAGAAAACTTAGCTTCGCAACAAACAAAGATAACGCCTTCATTTATTATTTAAATCATGCTTAATCCTTTCTGGAATTTTTTCGAGGAAACGAGGAAATAAGCCTTTAAGATTTACTTCATAATTTTTAATACAGATATTTTGAGTTTTTATGTATTTTTGCCTTGTCGCGAAGTGAAAGCTGAATTAATTGAATGAGAAATACTCAATCGTCTGTGAAAAACTGTTTCTTTTTTCTTTTTTTTGTTTGCTTAATTTGTTTTCTACATAGTTCTAGCTTTATTATAGTATTTGAATAGAACATGTGGCAACGATTAGATAATTCTTTAAATGATATAAATTTTGTGCTTTCTGAGTTGTAATATGAACGAAATATAATACTGTTAAGTAAATCTAGCGCCAGAGTGTCGCTATGGTAAAGAAAGTGAATTTTAAAGAATGCATTTATTCTATTGTGGTTTATGCGCTGTCGGCGAAGTAGGTTTAATTCAATCTAAAAAGTTTAAATGAAATGAAAAAAAAAATGCGTATAATTTAATATTCCATACAAGGAAGTCATGTGGTGTACACATCAGATTTTTTTTACAGTAACTATATTTTTAAAAGCGTATATTATCATCTGCTACTTGACAGTTTGGTTTTCATGCAAAATGGCGCATTTAGAAAAGCAATGGACTAGGTTTGTGGTATTTTCGAAAAAAATAATTCGTATTTTGTTATTAAAAATTGCTGTGAAAGCTACGATTTTTCGGCATCTAAAGGAACGATAGATCATGTTACCAATGACAAAGGGGGGTATAAAGTCAGAGTTTGGCTTCAAGTGGAAAAATTGTTCCAAATACATATCCAAGGAAAAAAAGGAAATGTTTCGAATGTTGCAAAAGTTAAGATAATCAATGTTAACCCTCTCGCTGCGTATCCCGGGATTTCCACGGGCAACGTAGAAGTAGCAAAATTTGCGCAACCCGTGATTCCCGCGGGGATGCATTTTTTCCGTTTATTTAACTGTGCAACTCGCTCTTTCCCGTTCGTGGTTACATTTCGGCTCTTCCGTGATGTCTAATTATTCATTCAGATCTGGATTAACAGATGGCGTTGGTTGTCCATATTTCTGCGAAATATACAAACACGTTTTGGACCATTTTGCGCGCTCTTTTCAAAGCTCAAAGATGTCTGTAGTTCAACTCTCAATCCGTAAGACTAACTGCTCGATATTTTGCTAGATATATGTATTCCTCAGTTCCATCAAGAAAGAAACTCATAGACATTGTGCTGTTTGTTTCTAAAAAACAAAACAAAACAAAACAAAACAAACAAAAACAATAAATAAATAAATTAAATAAAATAAATAAATAAATAAAAATCAAAATCGTAAAAATCTTCTAGTTCTAGTCTAAATAAATAAAAACTGAAACTGGTAAAAAAATTCGCAAAGAAACGCCTATTTGGTGCAAAGATGGCGAGGTAGGATGCCTCAACCCTTGTTTCGAAGTTTATCATATTACACTTCATTTCTAATAAACGTTTTGTAAATATTTTGCGTATTTTCATTAGTATATACGTTTTACCATTATGTTCCATAAAATAAATCATAATTTAACCAAGATTAATTTTGAATATTTTTCTTTTATATGATTATTCTTCAGTTTAAATTTTCCGACAACCTTTTTTATGATTTATAATTCTATACTGGGAAAAAAAAAAAAAAAAAAAAAAAAAAAAAAAAAAAAAAAATTATGTACTTTAAATCTAAAATATAATTAAAAGTTAAGTTGTAAGAACAAACGAAAAGAGACCAATTTTGGTCAAAATTTTGCGCATTGTGCTGTAAAATTAAGGAAATTAGAAGATAAATTTTAGTACGCACGCCAAAAAGTTACCAAAAAAATGTGGCTCCGTGAAAACTTCAATATAAGCATATTTAGTTGCTATGAAATGTGTGAAAGAGGAGAAAAATACAATATTTGAATATTTACAAATTAATAAAAAGTAAAATTAATAAAAAGTAAGCTATATGCTAAACGAATTAAGTAATTTTTAACACAGTAAAAAAAAAAAAAAAAAAAAAAAAAAAAAAAAAAAATCAATGGAACGAGGTAAAATAAAAATAGTAAGCTGTATGCTAAACGAATAAAGTAGATTTTAAAACACAGTAAAATACTAATCAATTGATCAAGGTAAAATATAAAAATATTAAAATTAAGAAGCGGTAAATGGTTAATTAGCCCAATTCGAGGTTCATTTTGGCTTGTCGTTGGAAATTTTTAAAATGAATTTCGAACCAAGCTAACTCCATTACGCGTTTCGCCGAAAGAGACAATTGAAACTTTGCGCGACAATTTTTTTAATGAATTAAATAAACTATGTCAGAAATTTTAGTCTCAATTCTCTGTTCCAATTTAACGACGCGTCCGCAAATATTGACACATTAAGGTGTAAAAAATGGAAAGGCAATTCCGATGTACAGAAAAAATAAATAGCGATATGGTATTAGTAAAAATATGCAAGAACTTATGGGTTGGACCTGCGAGCTAGAATTTAGACTAAAGTTTTTGACACAGTTTATTTAATTCATTAAAAAATTTGTAGCGCAAATTTTTAATTGTCTGTTTCGGCGAAACGCGTAATGGAGTTAGCTTAGTTCGAAATTCATTTTAAAAATTTCCCTTGACAAGCCAAAATGAACTTCGAATTGGGCTAATTAACCATTTACCGCTTCTTAATTTTAATATTTTTATATTTTATCTTGATCAATTGATTAGTATTTTACTGTGTTTTAAAATCTACTTTATTAGTTTAGCATATATCTTACTATTTTTATTTTACCCCGTGCAATTGATTTTTTTTCTACTGTGTTAAAAATTACTCAATTCGTTTAACATATAGCTTACTTTTTATTAATTTTACTTGTAAATATTCAAATATTGTATTTTTCTCCTCTTTGACACATTTCATAGCAACTAAAATATGCTTATATTGAAGTTTTCACGGAGCCACAGCTTTTGGTAACTTTTTGGCGTGCGTACTAAAATTTAAATCTGAAATATATGTAGATCTGAAATATGTAATTAAAAAAATACGCAATTTTTGAACCTATTTTGATAAAAAAAAATTACGCAGCGAGAGGATTAAAAGAAAATCCACCAATCGACCAAGGCAGTTGCAAAATCATTAAAATGCTCAATGTCAACTGTAAACAAAGCGATTAATGCTAAATTGAAGCTTTAAAAAAAATTAATTTATTATCATCAAAGAGAAGAAAAAAAATCTTAGACCATGGTTCAAAGAATCAAAAGAAAGGTTTCAAAGGTAGATTTATAATTGTTGTTATTTTTTGATGTAACGGCAAATAAAAACTAAACAGAATGCAGAAAACTGTTTTTGCTTACATCTGTACGTACAGACAGAGAACAAAGGATTTTTCTCCCCAAATGGATTTAAAATGGATTCAGAAGAGATTTTTTCTGTGACAGCTATACGTATACGTACGTATGCATTTATCCAGGTCCCGACTTAGCCTTATTACGACCCGGGGAAAAAACTTCTTTGGGGGCCCCCCTCTGCTTCACTGCTCCAGTAATGGAAAATTTTCTGATTGCTAACTTTGTCATACAGCTGCGAAAAATTCATATCCTTGCTGACATTAGGGTGGAATTCTGCTAAATTTTCGCAATTACGGTGTTTCAATTAAGCCAATCAGAAGCCCTTATTTTTGTAAGCATAACGCATTTTGTGATATGTAAAAATACAGGCTTTTGATTGGTCAAATTTGTGCATCGTAATTGCGAAACTTTAGCTGAATTCCGCCCTAGAAAGCCATGGATTTACGAAATATAGATTTTTTGTATTCATATGATAGATTAATGAAGAAGTTAACATAAAACTGACGGATTTTACAATGTACCGATATTTTGCTTTAAAAATGTTCATTAAAGAAGTAAACGTAAAACAAATATTCTATTCGATTTGGGGGCCCACCTCTGATATGGGCGGCAGGGACAACTGCCCCGTATGCCCCAACCTTAGTTAGGCTCTGCATGTATCTCGCATAACTAAAAATATTGAGT